TGACAAAACAACAAAACCAACTAGCCTTCAACAGCCTAGTCAGCGCCCTGAGCTGCAGACACCTTATAAACACAGAGCCCTTGCCTACTCAGTCATTATAGCACCTGGCTTTGAGGAATGGGAACTGTGTTTTGTTTTGTCTTTTTTTTTTTTTTAAGAAAGCCAGATTTGTTTCATTTTTTTCCTTTTTCTTTTTAGCAAACACAGATAGCACTTACTTATTTACTATTTGTTATTTACTTATCTTTTTAGCTTTAGAAGTTTCATGGTGACGATGAGCGGAAAATGCCAAAACAGCATCCTTCCACTTTGCCGTGAAACTTGTAGGGAGAGGGGAAACCAGTTTCTCCAACAGAACGACACAGGGTGTATCAGCTGCTCCAGTTCAGCCCTCATGGTAAGGAGTAATTGACCAACATATAACAGACTTCACACTTCCTTTTGTATGTTTTTATTTGGTTACAGTTAGGTGGAGTTTTTTGTTTGTTTTTCTTTTGGAGTGTGGTATTATTTTGTTTTCTTGGTTGGTTTTGAAGGGTTTGTTGTTGTATTGGTTTTTTTGGTTTTGGGGAAAAAACTTAAAATTAATTGGCTTGGGAGGGGGAGAGGATTGAGACAGGCTTGGGGGAGGGGAAGAATATGATCGAAATATACTTACATTTGAAATTGTTTTAAATGATAAAAATGTGATTTAAAAGCTAAAGCATTTTATGTAAAATTATCCTAATTTGCTTTAGTCTCCCTCTGATATTAGGCAGTGGAATCATTTTCCACCTTCCCCCTTATTATAAAAAATGGTTTTGTTAACTATCGTGGGGATGAAGCATCATGGGTAAACAAGAAATTCTGGGTGTGATTTGTGGAAGACAAGATTTGCAAGGTTGCTGGGCAATGGCACCCTGGGAAAAGCAGGCAAGAATGTCGGTGGCGTGCAGAAGGGTGCTCAGGCGGTGTGTGCTTCAGTAACGAGCTGTCATGTATGGTGACGTATCTCGGATGATCAAGTCTGTAAGAGGAGGAGCAGGCCTGAGCAGGTGACAGCTGCCTGCCTGGGGAGAAACCGGTGGAAGCACAAAGGCAGCAACCTCTCTCTACTCTCAAAAACATTTTTAACTAAAAGAGCGTCTTATTAGGAAAGTCCCACAAGGACATGAAGGGAAAATCATTTTCCATTCCTACTTCTTTCATGCTCTATAGATGCCCACTGGAAGTTTCGTGGTATATCATCTTCCAGATGGTATATAGAAATAAATACGAACACAGATTGACAGATGAGTCATGGATTATTATATACATGTTGTATATCGTCTTCTAAAAACAAAACTAAACTATGCATCATATCTGGCTCTTTTCCATTTCTTTTTGTGAGATTTCCCTTCCACAGGGGCATGCTACAAATGTAACTCAGGTATCACTGATGTGCCCAGTTTTTATCTCAACTTCTGTAGCAACCAAGATAACTGTAGATGGGACCTGGCTCCAGAAAGGCCACTCGACCAAGGAGAAATCACCCTCATCTTAAGTTGCCTTCCCGTCTCTGTGCCTGTACATCACATGTCAAATCCCTAAGAATGTTTGGGATGAATGACAAATAAGAAAAAATGTTCAGAATTCCAGATGCCAGGTTTCTCCTTTGAACTTCTGTCAAAAGTTGCTATATTCTGCTTCCTGTCATTTCAGTAACGCTGGTGCTCTGAGGTGCGGTCAAGTGCTGTTTCACCTGTCCTTGGTCAGTGCTTGTCATGCGTTGAGTATTTAGTAAATTTTATTGAATGTGTGAATAAATTAGTGAGCAGATAAGTGAGACTACAAACATAAATGGTACAGATGGGTCACACAAGAAATGGCAGCATACTGAACAGAAAATAAATGAGTTTTCAAAGTAAACATAATTACTCCTAATACACTATATAGCCAACGTTTATCATGCAAACATATTTTCTATTAGAAAAAATTTAAAACATACCTATCCTAAACGAATAATCTACGTGGTTTATCTTTGACTTAAAGGGGGTGGGGGATAAAAATTCAGCTCTTGGACAGATTTCCTATGAAGATACACTCTAGAATTGTTAAGAACAGCTGACTTTGTATACACAAAGAATGTTCCTTCCTCTTCTTAAAACCCATTTTCAATCACAATTTTTTTTTCTTCTTTGAGACAGGATTTTACTTCATAGCCCAAGCTAGCTATGAGCTCTGGCAATGATCCTTCTCCTTAGGCTCCAGAGGGCTGCCATCATGGGGTGTCGTGTACCACTACACTTGGCTTCAATTCCAGGTGTGTGTGTGTGTGTGTGTGTGTGTGTGTGTGTGTGTGTATGGGTGTATGTGTGTATATGTGTGTATGTGTGTGTGAATGTGTGTGTGCATGTGTGTGTGTGTTCATGTGCAATTCATACACAGAGGATACTGTCACTTTAAACCTTATTTCCTGAGGCAGGGTTTCTCGCTAAGCCCAGCACTAGGCTGTACGTATGTCCCAGGGACCCTCCTGCCCACTTCTCAGCACCTGGTCTGACTTTCTATTCATTTGTCAGGGAGATGAACTCAGGTCCTCAAGCTTGGTCAGTAAGGGGAAGGGCTCTCACCTGCTTAGACACATGTTCAGAACCAATAATTTTTAAATGACCTTTTTATATACCTCTAAAAATATAATATAATGTCTTCTGCTGGAAAGACGCGAACAGAAAGCAACCATTGCTGCTGCTGCTGGTAATGCTGATGCTTCTGCTGCTGATGACGATGGTGATGACAAAGACGATGGTGATGATATGATACAAGCTGGACTTGAATTCAAACGAGCCTCAGCTGGTCTCGCTTTCATAGAAACCCTCCTGCCTTAGCCCCTGAGTGCTGGGGTAACAGACACAGCACCAAACAAAAGAACTACTGAAAAGGGGGATATGCTCTCATAGCAGGGTGGATCGCTGTTTCAACACCCAAGACAACTGCCACAGAAAATCCTCACTCCAAGAAAGCTGTCTTAAAAATTTATTCCTTTTTCAGTTCTCAGCTAGTATTTGACAAGAACAACCTGTAGAGGGCGTCCTTGCACCAAGAGCCATAGAGGACTGAGCAATAACACTAGGGGAGAAAAACCTTCAATGAAAAACACACGCTTCAAGTCAAAGAAAATGTCTATTGTGTTTCAAAATTATTACCTGTGATTGAGTGATGCTGGTTTTACAATGTTAAAGGGTTTGCCTAATGTAGTACAACATTATACAAATGAATATCCACTGCAACAATAAAATAAAATGTTGAGGAAAGATATTCCGTTTTTTGAGATAGGGTCTCAGGTAGAGACTGACGTCAAACTCCATGTAGATTATATTAAGAATAGAGCCCCTGCCTCTAATTCTTTAGCGCTCATATTATAGCGTGTGCCATCGTAATCAGTTTACGTGTTTTGACTTCAAGGAAGAGTGGCCGTGAAATTTTGCAGGCAAACAATCTTGTCATTGCTCCGGACAACGAGGAGTCCTTACAGGAGGGGGCTTTGAAGTCAGAGCGATTGGGATTTGAACTCTGGATCTCGTTGCTCACCAGCTGAATATCTCTGCTTTTAAAGCTTTAGTTCCCCATCAGTAAAATGAATATAGTAACAGCAGCTTCCACAAAAGAAATAAACACTATAAAAAAATGAAGTTACGTGGCGTTCACATCAGTTCACAATGGACAGTCTTCTTGTGTACCCTCCATACGCACATACTATCCTCTTTCTATCAGTTTGATTTTTTTTTTAAAGAAACTGTTCGTGACTAACATTTGTTGAACACGCACACGTCCGACTTGTGTAGTTTCTGTTTGATTTCCCCTGCGGAGAGACCCGCTGCTTCGCAAAGATCCTAGGCTGCATTGGTTCAAAAGCAACTGGGTGAGAAAAAACAAAGTAAACAAAGCCATTCCTGAGTCTGAAAACTTACTGCGTTTTTGAAAACCCGTTTGCTTCCGTTTTCTCTGTACATTCAAGGAGTCAAGCAAGAAGCAAAAATCATCCGTGCACTACTGGATGAGGAGGTAATGCTGGAAGCCAGGGCCAGCAAGGCGCTCTTCCCAAAATACCCGTCGTCTCGTTCCCGAACCCCTAAGATTTCAGACACTGGGCACGCGCCTTCATTTTTTTCTCCAAAATCCATTTTTTTTAGGGGAGTCTTACCCTTGTGGGCAAGGTGTGTGTCTGTGTGGGGGAGGAGCGCGGGGCGGTCACAGCTCACAGCTATCATCCAGGGCCGAGGGAACTATTCTGGGTGCAATTGGGTTGTCAAGAAGACAAACCACGCCACCTGTCGGGTCCCGGTCCAGTGCATAAATGAAAAGTCCCTCTGAGGACCAGCGCTTGCAATAGCTCCCTTCCCACCCCCCCCCCCCACCCCCCACCCCCCAGCCTGTAGAATCTTGGTATTTAACTTCCCGGAAAAGGGCTAAACGGTCAGCTAGAGAAGACAGGGTTTGCTGACAGGCACGCAGACATACACTTAGTGAAGGGTGGACCACGTGTGTTCAGTTAGCCCCCGGGGTGGAAGACGGAGTTATCATCATCTTTGATAGCCAATCGAGCCCAGCTTTTTCCCCTTCACTGCGTCCCTGCTCCCTCACACGTCTCTTCTGGCAGAAGAAGGCTCGAGAGACGACCTTGAAGTCCCTTTGGATGCATTTTCTCTGTTGTGTTTCCTTCACAACCCAGGGCGTGCAGCACTTCATTCATCTGGAGCAAGCGAGCGGTCTCCCGGGTACCACGGCCCCGCCCACGCGGCCCCGCAGCGCCCCTTAGTGGCGGCCGCCCGCGCCTCCCCAGCTCTTAGCGCTCGCCTGTGCCAGCCTTTCCCGCGGTTCCTCCCTCCAGCGTGTGATCCTCTTGTTGCTGGCACTGCGGGACATGCTGGCACCGCCAGCTTTGCTAGCCTTGTGTCTCTGCGGTCCCCTCTCCCTCCAGGCCCCCTCCTTCTGCGCGGCCGCGCATACACTCCCTCCTCTCCAGCACTCCCCAGGCTCACTCGCACTGGAGACCGGAGACTTGAAAGTCCAGCCGTTTTAAGTGGCAACAGCTCCAGCCCCGCCAGCTGCAACCAAAAGAAGAAAAAAGAAAAAGAAAGAAAGCCGAGAACTTCACAAGCGCAGGTTGTCGCTGCGGCGGCAGGAGTTGCTCCACCAGGGAGAAGGTCCTGAGCAGCATGGCCCGGAGAAGCGCTGTCCCAGCTTTTGCGCTCTGGCTCTGGAGCATCCTACCTTGCCTACTCCTCCTGCGAGCAGATGCTGGGCAGCCGCCAGAGGAGAGTTTGTACCTGTGGATCGACGCCCATCAGGCAAGAGTGCTCATAGGTAAGGCCCTGCACTTGTCCCTTCCCAGTCTATCCTTAGTCTCTCCATACACGCATCGAGTGTGTTTTAAACTTAACTTCGAGGGTGACTGCAGCTTTCTTTTAAAACCAGCGTCTTTCCTTTGGACGTTCCATTTATGAGTTTCTTTCTCAAAAAAGCAAAGGCTAGCGGGGAGGTGGTGGCGCACGCCTTTAATCCCAGCCTTTGGGAGGCAGAGGCAGGCGGGTCCAGTCCTGACTGCAGAGTTGTTATAGGAACCCAACATCAGCACTGCTTGACTCCATCGTGTGTTAGCAAGCCTGGCTCCTAACCATGCACGGACGGAAAGTAACCCTATTAATGTTGGCAGGTGCTTTATGAAAAGCAGTGACCTACGCTGGTTCTCCCAGGTTTTTGCTTTCTGCATGAGACGCCTGTTTCTTCGAAATGAATCTGGTTTGATACGTTTGTTTATTATTTACACGACAGGATTTGAAGAAGATATTCTGATTGTCTCAGAGGGGAAAATGGCCCCCTTCACACATGATTTCAGGAAAGCCCAACAGAGAATGCCAGCCATTCCTGTCAATATCCACTCCATGAATTTTACCTGGCAAGCTGCGGGGCAGGTAAGGTCTGATAAGAGAGAGCAAGAAATCTCTCTGGTATTTCTTCTCTCTAGTGGCGAGCAGCAATAGTAACGGTGTGTGATGTAATAACATTTACGGTTCTATACAAGTTCTTGTCTGGTTGCCAAAGCAAAAAAGGGATCAGTTCCAATGTATTTGAAGTTGACAAATAAGTGGAAGAATCTAAGAGGCAATGTGCCTACGAGGACCTTTTTAATAAGATTTGATGTCTTGAGGTTGTGAGTTTGGGGTCTTTACCCCAAATATTCATATCACTGTTTCCATAATCACTGGTATTAAGCAATTAACAAAACATTTAAAATACTTTCAATACTACGTGATAATCATTTGTGACATTATTTATGCTTAACAACAAAGTAAGTTTAAAGGTATTCTTGGCATGCGTTTCTAAAAGCTGATATGTTGAGTTTGCTCAGAGAAGTGTGATATCATCCATTTCTGGTAGAAGTTCATAGACTCAAAAGAAATAAAATAAAACAATGAAAATTTCAGACTACTGATTTTTTAAAGTGACCATTCAAATTGCTTTTCTATGAAAAAAAGAAACAAAATCTATGTTAATGAAGCATTCCTCTTAGTACTTAACCTGCAATAGACTATTTGTGTTACCTTCTATACAACTTCATGACAATATTAACGGCCTCTTATTTGGGTAGCATAAAATGTCTGTGTGACTTTAATTTCTGTGGCCCAATTGTCTAGAGGACAAGTGTAAGCAATAAATTCTGCTCATTAGTTGGTAAAAAAATGTGTCTACTATGAAAACCATTGTAATTATAATTAACTGCACATTTTCAGGTTTTTTCAAATTCTAAAATTGCTTAAATAGCCATTTTCAAGAAGAATGTAATCAAGAAAACACTTTATAAAAAGAAACTATGCTAAATCAGGAAACCACTTTGGTTCCCTGTAATTGCCTATTACAGCACAGGCAGGACCGTTTCAGCTGCCTTTTAACCCTCGGTTTGGTCTATTTTTTTTTTAATTTTCTTTTAAAATAGACCACATCCAGACCAGTCAATGTTCCTATTGCTGTGCGTTTTTGTTAAGTGATGTTTAGTGGACCCAGGTCATAGAGTCTGTGGCCCCTTGCACAGACAAGTTCTTGCACAGATAAGTTCTTGCACAGACAAGTTCTTGCACAGATAAGTTCTTGCACAGACAAGTGGTTCTTCTCTTGCCTGCAGCTCTCTCTTCACAGAAACTCTATGTGCAGTTTAGTTTGGAATATTGTGAAATCACCGATGAATAACTGGCCTTCCCTGGCTTCCTTCTCTTTCACCCAAATCTGTTTACTGGTGGTTAACCACTTGTTATTGCACTCAGCAGTCTATATTTTAAAGAGATTTGTTCATAATAATGGATCCATCAAAAGCATTAGAAAGTAGTTCAATACCCACCCACCCACCCCGTCAGGTGAAAGAGTTGCATAATTGGAAAACAGTAGAGAATGTCAAGCTCCCAAACATAGTCACAACCCCCTCACCTCCCCACAAACACAGTCACAGACCCCCTCACCTCTCCCTTCTCTCTCTCTCTCATACACACAAACACAGTCACAGACCCCCTTACCTCCCCACAAGCACAGTCACAGACCCCCTTACCCCCCACAGAATCACAGACCCCCCTCGCACCCCCACCTCTCTCTCTCTCTCTCTCTCTCTCTCTCTCTCTCTCTCTCTCACACACACACACACACACACACACACAAACACAGTCACAGACCTTCTAACCCCCCCTCTCACAAACACACAAACACAGTCACAGACCCCCTTACTCCCACTCACAACAGAGTCACAGACCCCCCTGGCACCCCCCCCTCTCTCTCTCTCTCTCTCACACACACACACACACACACACACACAGTCACAGACCCCCTCACCTCTCCCCTCACATACACACAAACACTGCACACCTTCCATTCCTTACTGCCTGCTCTATTGTTTTGTAACTGCATATTTGCAAACACCAGCTTCTTGCTGAATATAAAATGGACTCGCATAGTCAGCAATTTCAGAACTGTCTGGTGAGGTGTCAGGGGAAACGGCAGAACTAGCAAAGGATGAAGAGTCTGGTGTTAGATTTTTTCCTGCTTAGGTGTTGATTAAATGTGTGGTTTATCTCTTTAGGTAGAACATTAGCATCTCAAGAAGTTACCTTGTTCTCTGTGGAAAGGTGACTCCAGGCCATTACACAGCATCTGATGTGTGTTCCTCTTATGTGCAGGAGTGTATAGCAGGGGAGAACTCCACAATGCCAAAAAAAATACGTTTTAAAATCTTGTTTAAATATAACTAATTTTGCTCCCTAAGAATAATGTGATTTCAGCACCATATTTATTTTAAAATACCAGGCAAATTTGAAGATGAAAAAAAATAATAACTTCATTATCAATTAAGTATTTTGACAGGCATCCATAGCTAAAGCCAACCACATTAAAATATGAAAAATGAAAAATTAACCCCATTATCTAGTTATTTAATCCAAATGATGCCAAACATTTAGACATTTCAACACTGCAGAAACAAAACGTATCTGATTCATTACATGTTAAGCTTTGGCTGTTTTAGCGACATGTGGACCAAGCTTTTTGTCATTTTTGTTTGTTTTTCTTAAGATTCAAGACCTAGTAAAAAGCAATAAGTAATTATTTATTTCTAGTAAATTTTAAGTCCAGTCACCCAAAGTGTCAAGAGCCATTTAAAGCATAGCATCTGATCAGCATCAGAGACGTTCAAGGGGAGCCAAAATGAGCTTCGTTTTCCCCTAGGAAATTGGTTCACTCCCATGCAAGTGTTTTTGGTAGGAACTGTGTGGACTCTTGGGTTGGATGAGACCCTGGGACTCCTAGCAGGACAGTCCCACCAGGATGTTTGGAAATGGCTCAAATGCAACTTTTTCAGTGGGGCATTTATTTACAGAAACAATTCTTAAGAAAATTGTTATGAGTGTGAATATAAATTTAGCTGAAAAGTCAGAGGTCCAGCGGTCATGGCAAAACATGGTAAAGCAATAACATGGATATTCTAGGCATAATTTGCGGCCGTGGGAAAAAGTTTAATAACAAATTAGTCTGTGAAATGGTACATTTTGTTTGATTCTGTTATAATAGGTTGGCTGTCACAGGAAATTTTTATTTGGTCAACTTCCAGTCTTCTAAGGTGTAAATGCTTGTCACAGACACAGTGTGACATTTCGGTTTCCTGAGAGTGAGCATGTGTTGACTGTCATCTAAAAACTCATTTTCTATTAGATACGTGTGAATGGATGAAGAGTTTAAAATTGCACGATGTTCTATGTTATAAATACTTAATATCTACTATCCCTTGTCATTTCCATATTACACATCACTCAGGAAAATGGCAGAATAAATGTTTTTTTATAGGCAATCATCTATGGAGACCAGAGATCTTGCTAATGTTTATGTGGTTTGCTTTGGAAGGCTTTCTGGCCTGAAATCATTCTACCTGAACTTCCTTTTTTGGCGGGGGTGGGGGGGTGTCTGGGGACATTTGTCCCCATTTTCTCTTCCATATAAAACACTCACTTTCTGGCCTGCTTTCTCTAAAAGCTTTTAGCTGAGAAGAGTTTCCATTGAAAAAGGGTTAGGCTCAAACGCTTTGTAGTCACGAAGCGGAAAGACCCCTTACGATTGTGTTCAACTGCTTACAGTTGTTAGTTTTCGACAAGCCCGTGCCGTATTCGTGTTCTTTAAATTTGAGACAGGCAGAGACCATAAACAACCATTTCGGTTTTCTAAATTAGGCACTAATTAAACATTTTATTTGGAAAATAACACTTCCTAAACCCCAAGGCTTTCAAGTAAAAATTTTAATAGGAAGTTTGGTTGCACACATCTGAGTTCTAACTTTAGGACATGGATGCTGATTTCCACATGAACCAATTTGGTGCAAAGCCAAAATGTTTATAGATGTATCCCAATGAGTAGATCTTCATGTATAAGGCTGGCAAAGACTTGACCTTTTTTTTTTCTTTATTTGTTTTTTGTTTGTTTTGTTTTTGTTTTTTTGAGACAAGGTTTCTCTGTGTAGCTTTAGAGTCTGCCCCGACATCATTCTGCAGACCAGGCTGGCTTCAGACTCACAGGAATCTGTGTGCCTCTGCCTCCCAAGTGCTGGGACTAATGTTGTGCACAACCACCGCCTGGCAAGACTTGATCTTTTAATGATAATATAGCCAATCGCCTGTAGATACATTAAGATGTTATGAATCCAGTACTTAATGAGGTTTATTATTTATTTATTTACATTTTTGGATGTATGTATTTTGATGTTGCTTTTTCCTTTTTTTTTCCCTTTTTTTTTTTGGAGGGGTGGGTAGGCACAGTTCATAGAATCATACCGAGCCACCAGCATTGACAATTCCTTTCTTCTTATGGCTAAAAGTCTGAGCTTCTTAGCTGGATGATAAGGCCTGGGGTGAAATGCTTTGGGAGAAGATCATTAACCAATATGAACTTCAAATCTATCATCTGAATCATGTAGCAAGCTCTTTCCATCAGGACCAGCTGGTCCAGATCTTAGAGAACCCGTTTGGTCATGTGGAGTGTGTGTTAGTTCTTATAGCCACTAGAAGTCAGTGGTGTAGTCATTTTCAAAATGTTTTAAGATGTCTGCTATCCTAGTGATGTATATATTTTAGAGGACTTGACTCTGTCAGGCTAAACTGCAGAAACACGCTCCTTTGTGCTCTTTAACTTATTATTAAGTGTATATAGTGTGTGCACACATGGGCACGTGGAAGAAAGCCAGAGGACAGCGGTGTCCTGCACCATCACTCTCTGACTAGTTTTTGAGACAGGGTCTCACACAGAACCTGGAACTGGGCTGTGAGCCAGCATGCCCCAGAGATCCTCATCTCCACCCAGCACACACAACTGCACCTCCTGGCTTTTTACATTTCCGGAGATAGGAGTTCAGGTCCTCCTGTCTGTGCAGCCATTGTTCGTACACATTGAG